AATACCCGGGAAAAGGTTCCCTTCTGTTTGATTCTGTTAGGGCCGACCAAAGAGATGAGAAGTCTGTTATTTACAGCAGTGTTTTTCAACCACTGTGCCGTAGAAAATCATCCTATTTCACCTCATTGGTCTAAAAAGACTTTTTGATAAGGAATTAATTATCTGTAAATAATATTCCATTTCTGAGTGTGTGTGCTGTTCTAGTGACTGGTGGAGTAATCATGTAATAATTCCTTATGACTAGATTTTGTATATAATTTTGTATATTGAATTGGACATGTTAAGAGCAATTTGAAAGAAGAAATATAAAATATGATAAAATAGATTTTTGTGTTTATTTGATTCCTATTCAAGACACTTAAGATAAGATAAGAATAAATGAGAATAACTATAGTGTTACTATAGGCGGATACAGATTTGTTTAACATTTTTGGTTGGTGATTCGTGATTTTTTCAATGAATAAATGTACCTTGGCTCAAAAAAGGTTGAAAAACACTGGTATCTACTGACCTCAACCGGCTTTACAATCAGCCTCCGGTTTTCCTTTATAAAGAAAAAAAAAGTATGGAAAAACAGGGATAAGGCCGGAAAACCCCACGCCCATTTGGAAGTAATTCCAGTTCCATCTGAAAGCTTTTGGCTGTGATAGCATCACACTTTAGCATTAGCGTCCTGGGACACAAACCGGGGACATTTTGCAGACATTTTGTTTTATAGTCTTCATCAGAGAAGAAGAGCCAGTGCTTTTTTTTCCTTATGTTTCAGAAAGAAATCCTTAAACATGCTGATTCAGCAAAAAAAAAACGTGAATATTCCCAAACAGGTGATATTTCAGAGGCATCTTAGTGTGTAATGTGGAAATAAGTTTGAATATTTCCTCTTTAGTGCTTTATGGCAGATGTATATGTGATTAATTAACCCTGTAATGCCAAATGTGTCATATTTAATTCATACGGTTTCTGAAATGTTTTGCGTCTGACACCTTTTGCATAATTTAATGGTAAAAACTTTGCTCAAAATCCTATTGAACACAATCAGATACACCTGATAACAGGGGGCAGAAGATACACAAAAAATAATCTGGACTTATCGCATAGTAATAAATTATTAATATTAAAAATGTATTTCAGTTTTTTCTTTTTACATACTTTGTTAAAAAAAAAGTAATTTTCTGTTTTGTTCTATTCTTGGATGGGGCTTAAAAGGGTTAATAACAGCACACTGTGATGGTATCACTCTAAAGGTGGATTAAATGTTAAACCCTGAGGATGAATGGCTCCTTTCACAGAAAACACGTCCAGCTTTATTAGTTCTGGAGGCACAGGTGTAGCTGATAACAGCAAGAACAACCGTTCCATTTAGCCCAGATATTTCCAGCTATTTTTGTTCTGCTCTTACTGGAACCATTAAAGAACAAGAGTCAAACGTCTGCTGTGAAAAAGCTCCAATAATCAGGTGGTCTGAGAGCTTATCGGCTCTAAATTCAATTGTCAGATTTAGATCAAACTAGCTTTGTAGCTCACCGGTCGTTTTACTAAACGACCTAGCTAATAATCATCATTTGTAACATCATTAACCAATGAAGTTACTGGAATCTAACAGTGAGTACTGGCTTTGTTTTCCTTAAATAGGCCCCTATGGATCCCACCGTGACGTTTAGACTGAGGTCAGGCACAGGGAGCCTTGTTTTACAAAACAAAAACACAAAAATAAACCGCACCACAAACTCACACTGACTATGTTAAGTGTGGAAACGCCTGTTCTTCTTATTTCCATAAGCAAAGCCAAAAGTGGAGGTTCCATTTTCCATCTAAAGCTTTGTGTAGTTAGTTTTGAAATGTAATTTTCCATCTCTATCAGAAAACAATTGTTGCATGTACGCGGAAGTAAGTGTCAATTTTAACAGTTAAAACTTTTGGCTTCATATCTTTGTTTGACTTAAATGTTTTCACTGAGGTTAAGAAAAAGTGCGAACAAGAAACAAACCTTTTCTTTGACTTTCTGACCTAATTATGCTCTGTTATGTTTTACTTTAGTGTGCACTGAATCCAGGTGGACCCTAAAAATAAGCCTAAAGTCACATGATCTACGTAAATTACTGATTGTCTTATTCCTTATAGAACTATAGAACTATACTTTTGAGTTAAAGTCTCTGGCTGTGTCCACAGACTCTCTTTTTCTTTTAATAATAATAATAATAATTATAATAAATTATAGCGCCTTTCATGCCACTTAAGGACACTTTACAAAGACGATCGTCATTAAAACAGCATTGAAACATAAGAAAACATACAAAATCATAAATACATCATAAATAAGAACATCATAAATTGATAAAACTGTGCAGAATGAGGGGAATGTTAGAGTTATGGGTGGTGAGGTGGGTTAGACATTTTAAACAGGTTTAACAGGTGTTAAACAGTTAAAACTTTTGGCTTCATATCTTTGTTTGACTCTTAAATGTTTGCACTGAGTTTTAGAAAAAGTGCGAACAAGAATCAAACCTTTTCTTTGACTTTCTGACCTAATTATGCTTTCCAGGAGACTCCATGATTTAAGGAATAATTCCTCCTCATTGGAGGGGAAAGCTGAGCTCCGTCTGGAAGTTAAGTTTTACTTTAGTGTGCATTCAATCCAGGTGGAGCCTAAAAAATAAGCCTAAAGTCACATGATCTATGTAAATTACTGATTGTCTTATTCCTTTTAAAACTATAGAACTATACTTTTGTGTTAAAGTCTCTGTCTGTGTCCACAGACTCTCTTTTCCTTTTAATAATAATAATAATTATAATAAATTATAGCGCCTTTCATGCCACTCAAGGACACTTTACAAAGACGATCGTCATTAAAACAACATTGAAACATAAGAAAACATACAAAGTCATAAATACATCATAAATAAGAACATCATAAATTGATAAAACTGTGCATAATGAGGGGACTGTCAGAGTTAGGGGTGGTGAGGTGGGTTAGACATTTTAAACAGGTTTAACAGGTGTTAAACAGTTAAAACTTTTGGCTTCATATCTTTGTTTGACTCTTAAATGTTTGCTCAGAGTTTAAGAAAAAGTGTGAACAAGAATCGAACCTTTTCTTTGACTTTCTGACCTAATTCCATGATTTAAGGAATAATTTCTCCTCATTGGAGGGGACTGCTGAGCTCCGTCTGGAAGTTAAGTTTTACTTTAGTGTGCATTCAATCCAGGTGGAGCCTAAAAAATAAAAAATAAGCCTAAAGAACAGCGTTTGACTTTAAAGTGTGTATTACTTAGTCTTCCTGAGTTCTTTGGAGGTGGAGCAGGTCCATCCATCAAAGCAGAACCCGTCCATCTGGAACCGGCAGATATTACCCACAATCCTCACATCAGAAGCTTTTTAGGACCGTCCCGCTTCCTCTCAGCCAATACAGATCTGCACCTGGGAATTTAAAGATGGGACGAGAGAAAAAATAGAAATATTGAAAAAATTAGCTCTTCTAAGTTCAGTCCAAAGCTGAAACGTATTTTTTTAAATCCTATTTCCTT